GACACGCTATAAGGTAGTCTTTTTTCTTCTTCTTCTCCTCACCATTTTCGAATTCTAGTTTTTCTAATTCTCCTTCTCCTCCTCCTTCTAATTCTTTCTTCTCCCCTTCTTCCCCCTCCTCCTCATCTTCCTTCTCCTCTTCATCATCTTTTTCTAATTCTTCTTGTTTTTTTAAATTTTGTCTTCTATTTTTTAAAATAAAACACATACTCTCAAATTAACCATACTGTCGGTTTCAAATTCTTCTACAAAAATGAAGCAATGATCTGATTCTTTGTGCTGGCCCTCATCTTTCAGGGCCAACAGCAGCGCACCTGTCCAGGGCTGCAGGGGCCACCAGGCTCTTATTACTGGAGCACAATGGATCATGACAGAAAATGAACTTGGCTGTGTGTCTAGCATAGGTTTGGGCTCTTGCTTATGTAGCCTAGGGAAAGCCACGTGGCTCTCCTGTCAGTCTGCTCTGCACTTACCTTACCTTACAGAATGCCTACTCCATTAAGTGACTGTTGGTTGTTGTAATTTACAATCCAGGCAGTGGTTTTGAGGGTCAGAAGAGGGAAGAGCAGAAAATGTTTGGGGACAAAAGAAGTTGCCTGACTTAATCTCCTGGTCCCCATGCCCACTTGGTGCCCCCTTGAGCCCGGATGCCCGCATTGCAGCCAGGTGCTTGTGTCCTGCCACTCCTGCCCAGCCTGCTGTTCTGGAAGGTTAGACCTGGCTCCAGCTGGAGAGGTGATTAAGTGGGAAAGACTTTGAACTTAAGCGAAACCTGTCATCTTTTTGTTTTCGTTAAGGTTCTCAGAAAGGACTTGGCCATCTCTGTATCTAAAACAGTAGATTTTGCAGGATGCCCTTGGGTCAGGGGGCAGAGGTGAACAGAGAGAGAACTGCCAAGAGAACATGGAGCGAGCAGAAGAAAGCAAAGGGAATAAGCACTGTCTGGGCTCGATAGTGACAAGATTCTGAGAGAGAAGTGTCTGCTGCCCCCAACGGAGGCTAGATGAATGGGGGCAGAGAGGCTCTGGGGTCAACATGGAACTCTGGGTCTCTAGATGCAAGGATGCTGGGACTGACAAATCCTGTGATGTCCAGGGCTGGCCATGGGAGGCTGTTCAAAGTTAAAATAGATTGCTTTACTAAAAAGTAGGAAAAAGTGTCCTGAAAGTGACTAAACAGAATATGTTCCCTGCCCTTTTCTCCCTTCACTCCTTGCTATGTCCTGGTCTTTTAATGTCCTAAGAGATCTTTGAACTGTAATTGTGCACTTGACTTTTTCTGTCCATTTCTGTCTCGTGTAGGGTTAGTGCATACATAGCAGTGTGTGACTAGATTTAGGTCTTTGAAGTTACACTTCTCTCACTGCATAGCTGACACACACATGTGCTTCCTTCCCTCTGGCTTGGGAAGCCCATGTGAGGACCAACTCATCTGGGTTTCCGGCTCCACTTCATGGTCCACATGCATGCCCTGGCCTTCCCCTTGGCTGAGCGATGGGCAAGGCATTTGCCCTGTGTCCTCATCTTTGGGGCCATGTTTGCTGAAATGGGAAGCAGGAGAGGACAAGCTGGGGCTGTAGTCTGAGGTGGTTCTGGGAGCTCAGTTGTTTTCTCCCAGGTGCTCATAGAAGGCATCGCTACACAGAAACATGGTGACCTTTAAACCCGGTGGCCAGAGCAGCCTCCTGTGTGTTACATAACTAGAAGCCTAGTGCATAGACACACATGCTGCACACAGAACACTCACACCTGTTGTGCTTACACATGCATGTCCTCCCATCCAGCTCCACACCCAGCGTACCAGCTCTGTGACTCTAAAGGCTTTGCAGCCCCAGGAGCTGCAGGATGGGAAGCTGAGGCAGGAATGCCACCTCACCCAGAGTTTTTTCTCCTGTGTTTTGTGTTCATCACTTACACAGTGCTGCACTGGGTGTGGCGAAGGCTTTTCTGAAGTTAATTCTGTCACTTCTGCTACTGAGCACATTGTCAAGCTGGCTGGCTGTGTAGTTGTACAGACAGCCTGATGCATATGCAAGTCAGAGCCATTAAATATCACTCCTGGAACTGAGCAGCCTACAGAAGAGATTTTATAAGTTACAAATATGTTTTATTATCTCTTTTGAAATGAGTTGGTGCCTGAACAATTGAATAAGCAGGTAGAATGTAGTGCCTCAGAGGCTTTGAAGAACAAAGCCGTTTTTGAAAACTGCAATGCTGGGTTCCAATTCCACCTCCCAAACTGCAAGCAGCTTGCTGTCCTGCTGTGTGCCTCAGTTTCCCCACCTATAGAAAGAGAGTCGGACATGTGACAGGCATTCTGAAAATTGTCATGTCCTGGCATACTGCTTCCAGCTGGGAAGGACTTCAAATAAAATGAAGCCATGCAAGTAGATGCATGCCGTAAGGCTATGAGGGAGAGAAGCAGCACAGTGAATTTTTTGTATTATTTCCACCTTAGTTGGTGGAGTGCTTGCCGTGTGTTAGGGCTAAACTTCTTCCTGTCCTTACAGACAGGGTTTGCCCAGAAGAATGATGCATCCTATACAGGTGCACACTGACGGCAGCCACATTCCCCTCCAGAAACTCCAAGTTTGGCCTTCCTACATGTGTTTCAAGGATCTGGAAACAATAAAGCTCTGTAGGTAGCTGGAATTAATAATCTTCTGTAGCTGGAGTCTTCTTGATGGGGTGAGATGCTGTGGTGTGCTGGGGATGGCTGGTAGGTTTTCAAGAATTTTATGATCCAGTTATTAAATATTATTAAAAGCTCAGGTAGTAAATTTTCAACACCCATCACTAATGATTTTCTTTCACTTCACTGTGGACTGTGCTCCTGGAGTTATTTATATGCAGTGTGTCTGTGTGGTATGCACTTTGTACAGAGGCAAGCTTTCATCCATCTCTTCCCAGCTCTGCCCAGTGACATCACAATAGTGGCTTGGACTTGGTGGGGGGGGGGGATGTCTATACCACAGAATGGGCAGAGGCTGCCCAGCAGACCTCATTCTCCATGCCACCTCCCCAAGAGATGATTGAAGAACTTTGATCACCACGCCACGTTTGGTAGGGAAGTTCCTTCTGGAGGATTTGTTCAAAGCCCTGGCTGTTGTAGGCCATTACTGAACCCATCTGAGAATGTGAAAAAGAAAGGAGGATGAAGGAATGAATATTCTTGGAGTATCAGTGCCTGGCAGTGTGTGAATTGCCTATCATACAAAGGCCAGTTAAAATCCTCCTAAAGGTGGGAGAAGCTGTGATGCTACTCCAGTCCTACAGCTGAAGAAACTGATCTATGATTTTAAAAGTTGCCCAGGATGATGCATCATCCATGAAAAACCCAAAACAAAGGCCTGTGTTGTAAATATATTTGAGTCCAGGTATTTGTGTCTCAAATGCTTAATACTTTTCCCTTATTCAATGGAAAGCTGAATGCACTGGAATTTGTGTGTGTGTGTGGTGCTGGGGATCGAACACAAGGCCTGGTGCATGCTAGGCAAGCACTCTCCACTGAACTATACCCCTACCATGAAATGTGAGTGTATGTTGCAAACAGAACAATGGTAAATGTTGTGGTAAGGTCTTTACAAGTTTGATTAACAGTATTTTTATTCATTCATTTATTGTTGTACCTTGGATATTGAAAGTAAGTTGTACCAACTGCTTGCCATTCAAAGGTTGTGTCCAGGGAAGAAAGTTAGGTGTGAAGTCCAGAGCTGGGAGAGCTTGGGATGGAGGCAGGGAAGGTGGGAGGAGGCCACTTTTGAAGCAGGCCCTGCATAAGCCTGCTGGTGTGAGCCTGGCATTACACGGTCTCCAGGTATGAAGTGCGGCAAGACAGGTTTGCATGGGTCTCAGTGTGGTCAGACAGGTATCCATGAGTATTTGGAGAATCCCGATCAGTGTGTTCAACATTGTTTCTGTGGGACACATGCCCAGAGTTCAGCATACCCAAGGCCCAGCTAGGATTCAGGTACCCACTTCTTCAGCCTCTTCTGGGTTCCTCTTGGCCAGCCATAGCCCTACCTGGACACAGATGGTAGGTGGGGTAGCTTGTCTTCCAAGGGCAGTTCATGTCTGGGCCCCAACAGTGGAGCTTAGTTTTCTGGGGTTGAACCCAGGAAGGTGCACTTTAAGCACAGGGCTTAGAGATTCCCAAGAGCTACAGGGTTCCCAGGATTCCATGCCCTAGTGTAATTGCTTTCCATCACTTGGACACAAGGGCTAACACCCCCAGCCCTGTACCACCTTCCTTCTCCGTGGGACTCTGTTGCTCTCCACCATGGCCCTCAAGGTGCTTGGCATGGTTCTTCTCTGCACTGGCCAGGTAAATTCAGCAGTGCCAGGTCCCTCTATTAACAAAGGATGGCCTGGACTTTACAGTATGTCCCCATGTGCTCTCCTTGGTGCTCAGAGCTCTACGGTGGCAATTGTGCCAGGACTAGCCTCATGGATATTGTGCTTTGGATAGTGGGGACCTGACACCTCAAAATATTCCTAACTCCTTGGAATGATTGCACAGAGTCCTCCTCCTCCTCAATTGTTGCAACTTCCTGTTTAGCTGCAGAACTTTGAACTGTGGTCATGCACTATATAATAACACTCTGGCCAGCAATAAAGGACACGTGATAGTGGCCCCAGGTGATTATATCACCTGGTGATGACATCGCCATCTTGGATGTTTGAACACCCTCTGTGAGGTTCCCACAGCCCTGGGCTTGACAAGGATGCATCTCTCAGGTCACATCCCTGTTGCTGAGCAATGCATGACTGTACTCCGAAAATGAAACCCATGATCTGATCCAGCTCATGCCAAGGAAACAGGGAGCTCCCTGCAGGTAGAACAGAGTTCTGCTGGTTTTAAGGGTTTCTAGCCCTTTCTGTCACTCAGTGGCAGAGATCACAACACTGAACAAGGTGACACATGTGCCAGAAACCTGTGTCTCCATTCTGTGTGTGCCTCGCTGGCCTGGTAACCACAGCTAACTTGCCTCATCTCTCCAGACCACAGGCTCCTCATCTGTGAGGGAAGAAAGTCAGAGTTCTTGGAAGATCCAGCTCACTTGACATATGATGAGAACCTCCAGGGAGAAAACCTCCATGCCTAAGGCCAGGAAAACGTCCCCAGTGTGAGCAGGGTATGCATGATTCTGCTTTGTGTTCATTTATTTAAAGTAGGAAAATAGAGACCCACTTTACCTATCTAGTCTTTGGGTTTAAAATAGCTCAATGACTTGGTTTCTCCAGCCTACATCAGCCCCTTTTCTCCTCGGCACTGCCCTTACTCTGTCTTCTTGGTCTAGAGAGCTTCCTTCCATGTCCCTCCTTGTTTTATTGCCTGGATCTCTGAGCACAGCAAGGCAGAACTGCATTCGTTGAAACCCATGCTGCTCCATTGTTTTCACTTAGGATCGATATTTTATTGCAAGATTGGGACTAAAAATTTTACTCCAATAAGAAAGGCAATCAAGTCAGAAGTGATTCTATAAGCATGTAATACGGTATACATTCTCAGAGACCATCATGGCTTAGCTTGAACCTCACACTCTGAGAGCCAGAATGCTTTTGGGCTGTAGTTTTTTTTTTCCTTTGAAATCAAAGTAATAACCCTACACTATTCAGAAATGAATTCCAGAGATAAATTTTTATCCAGCTCATCTGACACTTTAAATAAATTTCAGGCTAATGAATTCAGTGTTTCTGTAATAGGCATCAGAAATCTTCCTTTTTAAAAAGGCAATCCAGGGAATGTGTATTTGTGCTGTAGTTAATGCTGTGTAAGGCAGTGCAGTATAGCTGCTGTAAACATTTGTAGAGCAAAGGAAGAAAGCCTTTATTTAAATCTTGCCAAGAGCAGAAATAAAATGAGCAAAAGCACATTAGAGTGAGAGTAACATAAAGACTGGTGCTGTGTAATAAACCTGTGGTGCGGTGGCATTAGCATTTCCTTGAGCTCTGTGTCATGTATGAAGAAAATCGCTGCTAACTTTACATCTGAGCGTGCGGCTTGCAAGAGAGGTCTGTTGAGCGAATAAGCATTGGGCAAGTGATTTATTTTGTGCTATGGAAGCATTATTTATCAGCACAGATACTGGATGCAGATTCCCTAATTATAATACCTTTTGTATATCTACATGACAGTGTAAAATACTTGAACAGCTGCTTCATTTAGTTATGAAATATTCTTGGCTGATGTGGGCACCATGAAGACCAGTTATTTCTACTAAATTACAGGATCACGGAAGATAAGAGTGTTATATTGTACATTTAATCCCTATCATCTAGCACAGTACCTGAATATCTAACAGATGTTTAGTGTGCACGTGTGTGAGTATGGGGTTGGGGGTATGTGCACACTTGCAGGCTTAAGCTGGGTATCCCTTATTCGAAATGCCTGGAACCAGAAGTCTTTCAGGTTTTAGATTGTTCTGGATTTTGGAATATTTTCATGTACTGTTATGGCTTGTATCTAGATATCTCCCTAAAGCCTCCTGTGCTCATAGGTGGGGCTTTCTGGACATGGCTGAATCTAGGGTGTGTGAATGTCGATTAAGGGTGTGATAACTAAATTAGTCCACTGATTGGTTTAGCATAGTTCTGGGTGTGGATAATGGGAAGGCCCACCAGTGTGGGTGGCACCACCTGATAGACTTGTAGCCTGGATGGGATAAAAGTCCAGAAGGCTTGCTGCTTGCTGCCTCCTGCCTGCTCTGCCATGCACTATTTCTCCTCTGCTGTGCTACTCTGCCTTGGAGCCAGCTGATGATAGACTAAAACCTTTACAAACTGTGAGCTGAAATAAACCTTTCCTCTTTTAACTTGTGGGTATCGGATATTTTGTCCCAGCAACAAGAAAGTAACTAAGAGAATGGGTAATGGGTACACAGTACAGTGAGACAGGGGCATGAGACCTGGTGTCTGGCACAGATTTCTAGCAGGAACCATGCCCCTGGATCCCAGTGCAGAGGGGAGCAAGGTCTTTGCACATTCAGTCCCCAAACTATGGGGGGTTCCATTGTCCTCCCTGGACACCAACTCCAGTAGATGGGGTCAGCAGGGCACAGGAAAGCTCTCTTCAGAGAACCTGCTGGGATTGGACTCTTCTGGTCCAGCCTGTAACCTTCCATCAGCCCTCAGGAAAGAGGAAACTGCCCAGCAGGTGTCCTTCCCAGGCTTTGCCCTCCTTCCCTCCTTGAAATGCATTTGTGAACCTAAAACCCACAATTACCAAGACTGCCCTCTGGTTCCTTTTTGACTGTGACACCTGTGGGTGGAAAATGTCCTTGGGAATGCATAAGGGTCACGGGATAAAAGCAGCTGTGGTGGGAAAATCAGCAAAGACCTAATGTATCAGCAAGATCTGTGTAGTCAGTGTGTCTCCCCTCCCAAACCACCCTCATCATCTCAGAGAGGTAGAAGTTAGACAGTCCTCCCTTGGGATCTGCAGGGGACAGTCCCATGACTCCTTGGATGCCAAAATCCCAGGATGCCCAAGACCCTACTGTAAGGACAGTCTGCAGAGATCCTTCACATGTCCTCTGGGGTCCATCCCATCATCTCCAGTGGCTCCCAATACTGAAGGTGCTATAAGTTCTGGGTGAACACTTATTGTCCTGTACTGGTTAGGGAATAATGATAGAGAAAAATCTGTACATGTTTTCTGCAAATGCAATTTTCCCCCAAAGATTTTTGCTCTGCAGCTGATTTTCTGTAGGGATCCTGAACCCAGCACACAGAAGGCCCTGTGGTGCCCTGATTAGCAGTATAGACCCAGAATCCAGTACACAGTAGCCGTTCAAGTGCCTGCAGAGTGTCTGAGTGAACAAAGCAGTGGGTGGGTGTATAAGGCATGCTCAGGCCCATGCTCCTGTATGTGCTTGTGCACGTGAACACACACGTGCACACCCCTCTGTGCTGCTGATAACATGGGAACATGACCCACAACAGGCTGGTCCTCAGGGTTTGTTATGGCTTGTATCTAGAATCCCCCCAAAGCCTAATGGGTTGGAGCTTTTTCATAGGTGGCTGGATCTAGAGTGTGTGATGCTGGAATTGATTCATGGTGCAATGCTAGAAAGGGCACTAGGATTAAAAGTGTGAATGCTGCATCCCCTAAGTAGTCTGGATAAGATTAAAGGGGCAGAAAGACATTGTTAAGGTCCCTTATTGCTTTGCTACTTTCTGCCTGCTGTTCATGGACTGAAACTTCTACTAACTGTGAAGTAAATAAACCTTTCCTCCCATAACTTGTGGGTGTTGGGTACTTTGTCTCAGCAATGAGAAAAGTAACTAAGACAGAGTTAGAAACTCAGAGATTACCGCATCAGCTGACAACTTTTACCAGCATTGACTCATGAAGGCCGATGCCAAGTCCTGAAGAGAATAAGCTGGACCTAGGTCCGGGTGACTGCTGCCCACTGTAGCATTTCTGAGTGTCACCAGAAGGCTGTGACTCTTGCTGCCCACTGGGCCTGAGAACAATTCTGCAGACCTAGGGTCTCCCATTCTACTCTAGGCCCTGGAGGCAGAGCTGAGAGCCTGCACTAAGAAATCTCCTGGAAGTCTCATGTTTGCTATTAAATATTCAAGTTGGCTTTGCATTTGACTCTGAAATATGTGTGTATATGCTTTAATACAAAAATTAACACATTCCTCTCTCCCATGCCTCTTGTTAAAATCACCTCAAGACAACATGGCTGGCTTGCCCTGTGGTTTCTGTGGCTAATTTGGAGCCAGCTATTAGGTCCTTAACAACTTTCTGTTTTCTTTTAATAAAATTTTGAATGTTCCAGCTTTAAAACCCACCCAGCTGGCAGTGTTAATCCCTACCAGCACCACCACCTCAGGCTCTACATAGCCTTACAAAGCAGATACCAAGAAGGGTCACTAGCCTGTGATTTATATTCATACCTCTACATCTCCCTAGGTGACTTTTTGTGTATTTCAGGATTATCTTTTCATTTACATGTATTTCAGGAAACAAAAATCAACTAAGATTACTGTGACATAATTATTGAATCTAAGTATTGATTATTCCTCAAATCACAGGAGCTGAATGAGTTTGTAGGACATCCAGATTTCAAATGCTCTACTAACAGTTTCTTTCCTGGCAATGTTCAAAACCCTGGAAGTAAGGACCATGGACATTACTACTGTCTCCCTTTTGACTGCCAGGAGTATAAGAAGGTGCTGTCCAAGCTCCACCTCATATTGACATATGGCCTTTTAGGCACCTGTGCTGTGGCTTATGTTCCCAGTTCTTAAAATGCTCTTAACCACAGATCCAAGGTCATAGAACTTGAAGAAAACTCTAATAGCAACTGTTCAGCATCTTGGGGCCATGAATGTCAGATGGAGGTTAGAGTGTCACACATGCATTAACAAAGCCATGCCAAGGTCATGAGCTGGATGTTAGCAACATATTGGATTGCCAGCCCCATCTCTGCTCCTGTACCTGAGTGTAGACCATGGACCAAGCATTGGAGGATAGGGGCTCTAAGGAGATTCACACCAAGGTGAATGGGCTGAGACTCCTCTATAGGAAAGATTAAAGGTTGGAGAAAGGGCTAGGGACACCAGACTTAGGACATCTTTAGGTACAGAGACAGGGGCACTGGGCACTGTCCTGTCAGAAGCTGCTTTTCACTCTGTTGTCCCCAGGAGTCAGGAGTCAAGATGGTGTATGTCACAGCTGTTCCTACAGTAGAGCCGGGCTTTTCAGATACTTAACGCTTGTGAGAGTAACAATAGAGTATATGTGCATTTATTGTATTTGTTTGCATTTTCTTATTTAAAAATTGTAATTGGCTTATCAGAAAGTATCTACACTCCCATGTTTATTGCAGTACCATTGATGGTAGCCAAGGTGCTAATAGACGAGTGGATAAAGAAAAGGTGGCATATTGAAATATTCTTCAGCCATAAACAGAATGAAATCCTGTCATCTGCTGCACAGTGGGTGGAACTAGAGGACATTATGTTAAGAAAAATCAGCCAGGCATAGAAAGAAAAATATTGCATGTTTTCTTTCATGAATATGAACCAAAAAAGTTAATCTCAAAGTAGAAGAGAGAAGCATAGCAGTTCCTAGGAACAGTAGAAAGGGATGGAGGGAAGTTCGATAGCAGGCACCAGTGAG